GCTTGGGCTGTGCCGATGCTGGAGCTCCGCGGCCAGCGGCGACTGCGCCATCTGGCCCGCTCTGTTGGGTAGGGGGTCGGTCGTCGGCACCTGCGCAAAGGTAGACGTAGGGGGCAGCATTTGAGCGGGGGGCCCAGTTGCTGGTAGAGTGGACGTAGGGAGCGGGGGCAGGGTCTGAGAGGGGAGGGCGAAATTGGGCGCAGAGAGGGGAGGGGAGGAGAGTGCAGCCGGAGGCAGAGAAGCACGCTGTAGAGAGCCAATGGTCGCCGGGACTGACGGGGGTGGTCCACAGCCAAGAGGACGACTGACAGTCATTCGACCGGTTGGGGGTAGAGTGGTAAGACCGGTCCGGCGCAGATTCACGGGCGAAGATGGATTGTTGGACGAAGGTATATTGGGTGGCCCGTTGGCCGGAGACGGTTGGTCGACAGGGAGCAGCTTGTTCGGAGACAGTTGACTCGTGGGGGATCGTAAACTAACGGGCGGTAGGGTGGTAGGGGTCGTGGCTGGGAGAGGTAGAGTGGCGGACTGCCTCACCTGAGTCGGTGGTGCCAAGAAAGCTTCGTTTTGACTAGGCGGCGTCGGGGAGCCTCTCGGAAGCACTCTGACCGAGGGCGAGAAAGACGCCCGCTGTGGCGACATGGCGATCGGTGACCGGGTGAAGGACATGCTGGGCCCGTACGTCTCTAACTTGGGCACGGTTTCAGGCAGTGCTCTGCCAGATTGGAACGGACCGCCTCCCTGGAACTGGGTTGTCCGACCAGACTGGAACTGATACCCCACACCAGATTGAGGCTGCAACTGGGCGCCCATGCCTCCCTGGAACTGGGTTGCCCGGCCAGACTGGGCCTGGGGCACCGCTGCGCCCGCCAGAGGACTCGAGACCAAGGAACCGGGTGTCGAGGGTGCGACGCGACGCACGGCCACAACTTGACCGGCGTGCGCCTGTCCCATCTGCCGCACCGCCGGAGACGAAGGCACACGTGTGTGCTGCACGGATACACTCCGTCCCGAGTGTTGCTCGGTCGCCCAATGGCGGTCAGTCCCGAAGTAAGACGAATTCTCGGCCATCGGGACTGGAGCCATCGGGACTGGAGCCATCGGGACTGGAGCCATCGGGACTGGAGCCATCGGGACTGGAGCCATCGGGACTGGAGCCATCGGGACTGGAGCCATCGGGACTGGAGCCATCGGGGCTGGAGCCATCGGGACAGTAGGCACGGCCGAAGTAGCCATGGGCGATGGCGCCATGGGGGACGGTGCCATGGGCGAGGAGCGGGGTGCCAGACGCATTCGTCCCTGGTTGTATATCGAGTGATTGATATGCATCATCTGGTTGGTATGCATCGGCATGTTGGTCGGCTGATTTAAGTTCATGTGCATCATCTGGCTGGTTTGCATTGTCTGATTCGCCTGCATCAGGTGACCCGACTGGTGGGTCGTTACGGGTTGCGGTTCGTGCGTCCTTGGTAGCGCGGGGTGCTGCGGTGACGAGGGCAGGGGCGGGTTCGGGTCTTGGTCGTGAAGATTCGGGTCCTGGTCTTGGGCGGCCGAGCGGGACAGGATGGTCATGGACTGGCCGGATGGGAGAGGTGAGGGCAGGATCTCTGCGCGGAGGGCGTCGATTGAGCGGCCGGCGGAACCGTACCCGTCAGAGCGTAGAAGCGCGGTCTGAGCGGCAGAGATTTCGGCGGAATAGGGAGGCGCTTCGCCTCCGAATGCTTCGCCCTGGAACGGGGCGGGTTCACCGCTGAATGTGGGGAACGCCTCGTCGCTTGGTTGTTGGTCCAGCCGGTGCACAATCGGTTGTTGCACAACGGGGCTCAAAGGGTGGTCCCAGGGGTGGTCGGTGGGGTGGTCGGTGGGGTGGTCGGAGAGTCGGTCTTCGTCAGCAGGGGTGGTCGGCGCCCGATCTTCCGCAAGGTAGTGTGTACTCCAACCCGCACTGGGGTGAGCGGGGACGCCCGTTGTTTCTTCCCCACCGGCAAGTGCGACCAGACCGGGCACAGGTTCACCCGCCGCGTCCTCGACTTGCAGCCCCACCGGTACCAACACATCCGCATGCTCAGGGTGTCGCAAAAAACCCTCCAACGGCCGACCGTTGTCACCACACGCTATCGGGTAGAACTCGCCGTCCGCCAACAGGTAATGTGGCACCGCATCCGCCACCAGGATCCCTGGCACAACGCTGTCCGGGTCACCCAACGGGTGCACCCAGTCCAATGCACTGTCCAACGCCGGCGGGTGCTTTGCCGCGCAAAATCCCACTGGATGCAGCTGCCCATGGAACCATACAAATCCTTCTATTGGGTCCCCCTCCTCAGTCAACGCCAACGGCAAACCTGAATGCTTCTCGGACATGTAAAACGGCATCGGACGACCCTTCATTTTTCGCTCGGAATAAAAACTCCCTTTCTCTCAGGAGGCTGCATGTGCAGAATGCCGCTCCCGGCCGGCGCTGGACCCACCGGCCGATAATCAAACCGCACTAGATCAGGCTCGACCAGCACTGGCTGATTACATATGTCTTCATACGCGCCAGAAGCGAACAACGACACCACCGAACAGTTCTGCTCCAGACCCCGCCAGAATTCACCAGCCCTCTTCGACTCAAACAGCTTTGGACACTAAATGCAACATACCGTCCGACCCAAACACGTTCACGTGCGGCTCACACACGTTCACATGCGGCCCGCCGAGGCTCACGTGCGACTCACAAAAGTCCATGTGCGGTTCACACGCGCTTACGTGTGGCTCACACCCGCTCACGTGCGACCCCCCCCATGCATACGCGCAACTCACCCGGGCCCCTGTGCGACTTACTTGAAGAGAGTGGTAAAGATAAACGGCGATTGAATACATGACCTGAGGAGAACGTTCTGAGTTGTGATCGCCGTTGCAATTGATGAACCATTTCTTGTTTTGTCTGTACTCATTGAATAGCTTAGTGGGATGATGCTGTTTGATGAAATAGTCTCCCTTTGCATTGACAAAGAGTAGGGGCGCATTACACTTGGAGATGTCGATATGGAGATCATGGATGTCGAATCCGTCGCACCGGCTAAGGATTGTACTACGTATCATGCCGAGGACCACAGTGGTGATTGCGTTGCACACGTACATGACTGGGGTTTTGATCCAGCCCCAGCCCCAAGTGCCCCACGGGGAGCACGCAGCCATAATGTCCATGCCATCATCCGGACCTGGATAGTGCGGGGCGGCAGCGGCCACGGAAGAAGAACAGGCGCTGCTACTACCGGGCAGTGTGGTGGGAGGGCCTAAGCCGACTCCGTCGCTGAGAGCGGTTGCAATTTGCTTGGATTCGTTGGTCAAGCGACTGCTGCTGCCGAGCTCCTCTGCCGCAGTCTCTTCCGCGTTCAACTGCACAGTCCCAGGGGGTCCGCAAAGTAACGGTGGTCCCGCAAGCTGTGGATCGTCGTCCTCAATCGGTTGGTTGTAGAGAATGTGTGCCGCCAATTCCTGAATTAAATCTCGGAGGTTACTGAACGGCGAGTCCGCAACAATCGCCGTGACATCTTCGTGGTCTTCTTGGTTATATAATAACGCCGTGACAGCTCCCATTGATCTTCCCCAAAGTCCAATGGTCGCCACTCGCCGGTTTTGCTTCAAGTACTGCACTACACAGTCCAGGTCGTTTTTTTCCTTCCATCCTAACGTAACCCAGTCGCCGTCAGAGTGGCCACTGCCTGAAAAGTCGAAGCATACCACCGTGATGCCTAGCGGCAGGGTGTACGGCAACACTCCACACGCCTCCACACGAGAGGAACTGTTCCCGTGAAGATACACAACGCACGGTAACTTCTCAAGCCCGAATCGATCCAAGGGTTCGTAGTGGCTGCAACGCAACGTTTCGTTGCTGCCGTTTACAACATCGAAGTCCTCACGCATATACACGCGTCCGTCTAATAATCGAAAGCGACTCTCGCCAAGCTCGTCCATCTAACCGCGGAGGATATATCTATCAACTGATACTCAGCTTACAGAGTATTCATCCCTCGGCGGTCTAACAATAGTCTTCCATAGTTCGTCGTAGATCTGCTGGACCGAACTCAGCATAAATTAATTAATATACTGGTTCGTGAAACTCACTCCGCGGTAAAACAGGGCGAGTCAGTGTTTTGTGAGACTCACAACAAGCGTGAGCCTCACAAAGCACTGACTCGCCTTCCCTGCCTGGTGTGTGTCGCCTGTGAGACCACGAGGTGGCGATACTCACAACACTACCGAGGGAGCACTCACTCCATAACCGTAGCGCAAGAGCATGACGCGTGAGAGCACAGCAACGCAGCATAACATGAAAGCACAAGCATGTCGCGAGGTCGGTCGGTTTGCAGTCAAAAAGCTTGGTCAGGATTTGGTCGGTGATGTCGGGTGGTTCTTGGAGGGATGGGCGGAAAGATCTTCTGGTCGCCAGTGAAGCGCGGGGCTGGGTAAGCTGTCTGGTGTAGCGCTGAT